CGCCCGGGGTTCTCGTGGGCTGTGCCGCCCCAAATTCAGCACCCCCGGGGCAGCCCGGGCGGACGAAGGAGCCCAGCCTCCGAGACGGCCGGGGGGAGACACCAGCGCCCGGCCCCGGACGCCCAGCGGGACCTGCGAGGACTGGGCGCCGAGCGCTCCATCCGCGGCTCCCCGGGTCACTGCTCCGGCTTCAGCAGCGCCCAGAGCTCGGGAAACAGCTGACAGCCACTTAAAAGTGGGTCATTAAAGACAAGCCACAGCTGCCTGGGATGCCAGGTCTAGTCCAGCACAGGTCAGTCCGAAGTTTAGGCAAGATTTACACTAAGTATATTACTCTTATAGTAAGTTTTTTAATATAACTTTTTTTTTTTTGGACCAGTTTCCTATGTCACAGTTTGCGGTTTGGTTTTGTTTTGTTTGTTTGTTAATCTTGAATTTACCCGGATAGTAGCTCTGATCGTAGGCAGATTTACCCACAAGTAGTCAGATGTTCCATCCAATTGTGTTCATGTGGTACCTCCGGACAATTTCTTAGATTTGGGTGTGAGAAATTGTTCTGGCTGGTTCAGGCAGAAAACTGAGGAAGCTAGACAAGATTCTGCAGTGAAAGCACCGGATTATTCATTATACAGTTTCCTTTTAGATAACATGTGAATGCAAATAACAGAGTCAGTGCCCCAGTCATTGCCAAAAATGGTTGTGTGTGTTTTAAGGCCCCGAGAAATGGAAATTAAAAAACAAAATAGTTTAACCTGCAATTTTGCAACAACTCGTACTTTTAGCACAACTGACTGCCTAAGGGCATCCTTCTCTGTTTTTTATTTTCTGTGTGTAGGCAAGTAGGGTAACAAGGACCCTTCATAGTAATAGGATAAATATAGGCAAGGACAAAAGATACAGGGAGGTAGGTCGGGACACTAGGAAATCTCTTCCAGCTTCTGACTGTGACTTTGAAAACACGGTGCTGATGGTGAGCACTGGTTGGTATCTGAATCTGTATCAGGGCAGATCATGGTGCTTCGAGGGTGGATCTGGTCATGAAACTGGAACTAGAGGATAAGAGACAGATGTGGTCAGATTTGTAGGCTTTCTTTCCTTACCACCCCCCAATGTTTTGAACCCCCAGCTTTTGTAGTGTTTTTCTTTAAATGAGTTATTTCTTGAACTTAATTCATAGAATGCAATTGGGTATAGAAGGACAGTGGGAAAAGTACAAAAGAAACAGTGTCTTGCTTATATAACTATAGCTTTCCAAAAATTACCTAGTGACTTTAATTAAAAATTGGAAGAATGTATATATTTTGAGCTAGTTGGCCTTTTCTCTGAGAGGTTCTTTGTAAACATAAAAATATTCCCTGTGGATTATGAGACTGAAATCTAAGTTAAAACTAAGTTCATGGAGAGAAACACATGGTCCCTGCCTTCAAGAAGTTTAGCCCAGCCCAGCCAGCGTGGCTCAGTGGTTGAACATCGACCTAGGATCCAGGAGATCGAGGTTCAATTCCTAGTCAGGGCACATGCCCGGGTTGCGGGCTCAGTTCCCAGCGGAGGGTGTGCAGGAGGCAGCCGATCAATGACTCTCTCATCATTGATGTTTCCCTCTCTCTCTCCCTCTTCCTCCTTCCCTCCCCCTTCCTCTTTCTGAAATCAGTAAAGACATATTGAAAAAAAGAAGAAAAGAAAGAAAAGAAAAGAAAAGAAAAGAAAAGAAAAGAAAAGAAAAGAAAAGAAAAGAAAAAAAGAAGTTTAGCCTATGGGGAAAGACAGGCATGTTTACAAATATCTTCAATACCAGATAGTGCAATCAGGGTCATATGGCAGTGATATCAACAGTGTGATCTGAAATGACAGAGAAAAGGAGAGGTTCACTTAAGGTTAAGACCTAAGAAAGGTTTTGTGGTGGGTGTAGCTGTGAGCTGGGACTCGAGGAAGGAAGAGGCCTTCCTCAGTGGAGTGGAGGCCTGCTGGGACAAGGAAATAGGGTGTTTGGGAAGTGTGGCGTGGTCACAGATCCAAGAGCAGGCTGGAGTGGCTGGAGCCTGGAGGTTAAGGTAGATAGGATGGGGCTAGATTATGGAGACCATGACAAGCCATGCTAAGAAATTAAAATGTCATTGAACATTATTATATTTACACCGGTAATGTTAGCATTCTTAACTGTAGTTCATACCTTGAAGTTCAATTTTGTGAGCTTCCCCCTAAAATAAGTAAATGGATAAAATCTCAGTGGTATTTCGTTCCTATAAATGTTACTGTAAAAGAGTAATGTGTTCTGAATAGCCTTCAGTTTTGGGGGCGTGCTCAGCTCAGGCCAAATCTGATCTCTAGAAACGATAGTATGGTGATGTTAGTTTTCCAGAAGATATGACCCATTATTTAAATCTAATTTTTATTTAAATCTAGTCTCCGTTCCCCCCCCCCCC